GTGCAAATATTATTCACAACCCACAATAATTTAAAACAGATTTATTTTACCCCCTTTAATCTTCGTAAAAAATAATTCATATGTAAAAACAAGAGGAGGCCCCCCTTTACACATTTTCGACACATAACCTTTTTTTTCAACCCACTGGCCTTATTAAACATTAAAAAGGCCTTTTTTTTAATTTAATGGGTTTTTTAAGCAAATAATTAAAATCCCCCCCCCATTTTGATAATCTCAGCCTGATCAACAATAGCTCATCACATGAACAATATGATGAAGCAACAAGCAAGGACTAAATATAACGCTGTTGTTGGCTCTGTGGCCCGAGAATTGGGAAATATAAGTTTTTTTCCACAGGTTCTGTCCACTCACTGTGGCGGGCCCCCCCCAGTTTATGTAAATGTTTGGAAAAATACTGGGCTCACAGGTGGAATCCCTAGCTTGCTGAAACCTTTCTGCAACTGGTGGTGCTTTGTGGTTTTTGCTTTTAAATCTGGCCTTTCTAACACAAGGGTTTCAGCCTATCACTCCCCCCAGAACCCTTGGCAGACCTTTGTTTCAGGAAAATGGTATAGTGTCCTCAAAAAAAAACGCCAACAAAACCACAAACACACTTAGGGTTAGAAGTTTTCTAAACTTTAGGAACATTTTTGGCCACAATGGTGGTGGCTTTTCTTTTTTTGAATCACCTTAAAATTTTTTAACGAGGTGTTGAAGTTTTTTTTTCAGAAGCCCACTTTGAATGTTTTTTGCCCATATCTAAATTTGGTTTTTAAAAGCTTTAAGCCTTTTACCCATTTTGGGACAGCAAACATCAATCATTTGAATAATGAATTTAATGAATGGACAGTGGTTTCACACACCTAAATAGTGTTAATGTATCCAACATGAAAACCTGGCAGGCCCCTTTTTTTAAACGTCCCCTCTTCCCAAACCAACAGGATAACCTAAACCCATTCAGGTGTTTTGCTACATAGAGAACCTTTGACCCATGCAGCCTATTAATGAAAACAGCACAAAAGCAAGTGAGTGTTTCCTCATTCCTTAGGCACCTTTTTGCAGATAAAGGAGGTTTTCAACAAACACTGTTGATACAATTCAGGAGACTGACCTAACATCCCAAAGTCCAACTGTCAAAACAAGCCAAAGTCCTCCGAGGCTGGTCTGCTTGGGGAAGAGTTCTGGTTCTCCACAATCAACAGGCTGGTGTTGCGCTTACATTTTCTGTTGTCCTTTTGTACAGTAGGCCAAAAAGTAGGCCTATCTTGAGTCCTAATCCTGTTTCACTGACACACTGAAAAACTGACGATTTCTCTAATTATGCAAACATGCACAGGACCTTCAATAAATGGTACCCCTGGTAAAGATGTGTAAGAAGCCTTAAAACAAATTCTATCCCATTTTTTCGGTGACTAGAAACTTTTATTTCATAGTACATCATTTCCCATTTTTCTGCCATTCATCAAAATAAGAAAGACAAGAAAATATCCCTTTCTAACAGGGCAGACGTGAAGAGGTCAGAGATTAACAGAAATGCACTGATTGGTAGCTAGAGCAGAGATGTAAAAAATCAACCAATTTAAAATGAAACCTAATTTAAAACATAAAGGTTATATTGGTAATCAATTGATCAAAGACCTGAATTAAAAAAACAAATACTGAAGAACCAATGAAGACCAGGAACCACCAAGTCTTAAACATGCCAAGAACTGGAAACTGCTGAAAACCATTGTCTACAACAAAAGGATTTTAACATCAACATGACGTAGACCAAGAAGCCCCTGCTCCAAAATCAATTAGTAGGTGCCAACACAGACAAGCCACATGCCTTTTGGAGGAAAGTTTTATGTTCAGGGGAGACAAAAATTAAACTGTTGGACCACAATGTTAAGACGTAATTTGGAGGAGTCAAGGTGAGGTCTGTTACGGTATAGGTGGCATTGGTGCATTGCAGAAAGTTCATAGAATAGTGAAGGATGGCTGCCTCCAAATACTGTATCCTTACCTCAAATCAACAGTGAGCCTATTGAAACTTGGACATAAATGGGTGTTCCCACAAGACAATGATCCCAAATACACATAAAAACTGATTTTGGGGGTGCGGCAGGGTTGTTGGGGTGGAACCTGTGACCCTTGTTCGGAGGCTTCGGTCCTCAAAGCAGCCCGTCACGGGTTTGACTCCTGGCCTAGGCGACCTTTGCAGATGTAGTATTTAATAGTTTATCAAGTTCAACAACATGAAGTATCCAATTGATTGCTAAATGTTTGACATCTTGTAGATTTTTAGCTTCTAACTTCACTTCTGTCTGTCTGCCCCAGGGCGCCCATGGCTACAATGTAGCTTACCACTGTCAGTGTGTGAAAGTGCGTATGATTGGGTGAATGATTGTAGTGTGAAGTGCTCTGGGGTTTCTAGGGACATGACAAAGCGCTATACAAGTTCGGACCATTTACAATTTCTAATTTTAATAGTTATAGCTAATCCACCTCATGAGAAAGATGGCTTTCTGGTCTTCCTTAGCTGCAAACCTTTGAGTATGGACAAAACATCCTCTAATAACACAGTTCATATACTCATTCACATCACTGAATGTGTGTTTGTGTGTAACAAAGGTTCAGGAGCTGATAGAGTAACTTGCCGACTGCAGCATTCCACACTGTGACCTTACGCTTTCTAATGTAACCCTAATCCTTCCGATGAAGTCCTGCATGGTATCCACCCAGCTAAGCATTCTGCAGCCCGGGTCAGAGCGGGCACTGCTCCTTTGCTGATGGACAGACATCAGCAGCATGCCCTGGAGCTACGGGGGGATACGATCTGTGTGCGAGGGTAATGGCAGCCAGTGGCCCACGCAGCATGTGTCATGGTGTAGTCTCATTAGTGACGGACAAACTGGTGAGCCAAATGGGTCTTGTGCTAGAGTTTCAAAACAACATCGGACGTGTGTAAATGTGCTTCGTTGTATGATGTGGGCCAAAGTTCTGCCCCCAGTTGACAAGGACGATGATTGGACTTTTGTAATGACCTTTTCATCTATTAGCACCTTCATCATGAAGTTTATCCACAGTCCCTGGAAGCCCCCCTTTCAACCTTCTCCAACACACACACACACTTCTTTTCATTTTCTATTGCTTTCAATGGCCTATCCCTGAACCTAACCCTAAACCTAAGGTCACAGGTACATACCTAACCTAAACTTAACCTAAACTCAATTCACACCACATTAACCTGATTTGCATTGTGAGAACCTGGCAAAATGTCCTCACAATGCTAATGTGTTCAGACAATATAGGTCTACTGTCAAGTTTTGGTTCCTATAACTTTGGCTATACAAGCCCCCCCACACACACACACATCCACATACACACAAAACAGATGGTTTACCAGATGACAGAAGACCCATCACCTGACTGCATCTCCGTTTCCATGCACCCCAGGGGGCACGACCGCTATGATGATCAACAACTACATCCATCTCCAGGCCAGCTCCATCGCCGCCTCCTTATTCCCATCCAGGAAAGTTTTCTATTTATGTAGCACAGACAGGGTTTTGCAGGAACCACCCAGATCACCAGATTAGAAGTCATAATTCCCAAAGGATCTCTGGTTTCTACAAGCAGAATCAGAAGTTCCCCGTAACATCATAAATGTTTCATAATTGAATTTTTTCATTCTTTAACTTTAATATTAAAACCAAAAATTAAAACATAATTCATAATTCACTTCTGTACACTGCAACCATGATTTGTGCTTTCCATAACATCTTGTCAATAGATTTGTTTGTGTTGTGACTTACAGCGTCATACAGAAGTATTCATGGAGTTTGAGCGATTTTGTGACATTGTAAGCAGCAACCTTCATTGTTCGAGGTACCATAGTAAAGGATTCAAATACACGCTGCCCTTTTCAGGTCTTTTATGTCAATATTTTTGGAAACCATGTGTCATTTGTAGGACAGGGATGACAAATTGGAACAATTCGGCATCCATATCATTCACCTCGGTATATTTTGCGGCTAAATTAACAGTTTTGAATATTCTGCAGGTTTTAAGTATTTGTAGTCTTATTATTGATAGCTTCATGGTACCATCAAACACTGAATTAACCCAGGCTTCTTTACCTTGCCTTAGCTCATTGAGGCTGCTGAACATTGATTTAAATGCTGATATCCTATGGTCCAAACACGGCCTTTAAACCAAGTTAAGATCCAGACTTAACTGAATGAACCATTGCAACACTGTAATTATTTGTTTTCTGCTGTGTTTGGGATCAGTGCCTTGTTGCATAATTAAGTTTTGACTAAGCTTCATTTCTCACACAGATGCCCCAAAATTGGTCAAGAATACCAAGCCAAAATTATTGACCTTCCACCGACAGTTGTTTATGCAGATGTGCTTTGTTTAGTTTTCATCAGACGGCATGCATTATGGGCGAATATCTTGAGTTTGATCATTTCTTTCCAAAGGATACAGTTCCAGATGCTTTGTTGTTCATTTAGGTGCAGCTTTACAAAGATAAGCCATGCTCCCATTTTTTTTAATTCTTTATAATGCATTGTTGTTTATTGTTCTCAATAAGCATAAATAAGGTTTCTTTGTCACTTTAAAACCCATAAATCTTAATGTATTTTAGTGGGATTTAATGGGATAGACCAATACATTGTACAGTGATGTAAAGTGGAGAAAATAATTATGCATGGCACTGTTTAATCCATCCATTTTCTATTCCCGGTTCTTCTGTACAGGGTCACGGGGGAGCTGGTGCCTATCTCCTGCGGTCTACGGAAGAGAGACAGGGTACACACTGGACAGGACGTCAGACCTTCGTAGGGCAACACAATGACACACAGGACAAACAACCATGAACACACCCATTCACACCTAAGGGCAATTTAGAGAGACCAATTAGCAGTCATGTTTTTTAGCTTTGGGAGGAAGCCAGAGTACCCGGAGAGAACCCACACCTGCTCGGGGAGAACATGCAATCTCCATGCAGAAAGATACCCAGGCTGGAAGTCGAACCCGCGACCTTCTCGCTGCAAAGCAACAGTGCTACCAACTGCACCACCGTGCAGTGACTGGCCAATCCATAATCTGAAAATAGAAAAAGAGTATTGCACATCTGTAAATCTACATACCCATCCACCTCAGTTGACGGGCCAAGCAAGGAGAAGCAGCCAAGAGGTCCATGGTAACTCTGGAGAAGCAGCAGGGATTTGCAGCTCAGGTGGGATAACCTGTCATCAGGACAACTGTTTTTCATGCACTCTAAAAATCTGGCTTTTATGGAGGAGTGAACAGGAAAGCCACAGTTGAATAAAACCCATAAGAAGCCCAGCTTGCACTTTCCCACATGACAGTAGTTAGGGAACACAGACCAAATTGTAACTTTTTGGATTTCATGCAAAATGCTGTGTGTGTAGTAAAATAACACTGCACATTACGTTTGTGGCAGTATCCTGTGTGGTGAGGCATTTCTTCATCAGAGACAGTAAGGATGGAGCCAAACAGGGAAAATCTTGAAGAAACCCTGTTAGAGGCTCCAACAGACTGGGGTGGAGGTTCACCTTCCAGCAAGACAACAACCATAAGCATACAGATAAAGATGTACTGGAATGGTTTAGATGACCGTATATTCATATGTTGGAATGGCCCAGTCAAAGTCTAAAAGGAAGGACAGAAAATTGATGTTCTCCATCTGTTGACTGAGCTTAAGCTATTTTGCAACAAAAATGAGCAAACATTTCAGTGTCTAGAAATGCAAGGATGGTAGAGAGATGCTCATGTACTGACTTAGGGGCGATCATACAAACTCATGCCACGCTTTTTTTAGATTTTTATTTCTAAAACGTTCAAACACCATGTATTATTTTCCTTCCACTTCACGACTAGGCATTACCTCGTGTGTATGACAATAATATCCAATTAAAACAGATTAAAGCTTTTGGTTGTAACGAGACAGAGCAGGAGAAGGCTTAAGGGGTATGAACTCTTTTGCAGGACACTAGATGTAAACTTTGGCACTCCATCCGATGCTTTGGCTGAAATATCTCAGTCACGACGGATCATCAGAGCCTTATATTAGCTGGTTTTTTAAAACCAGTTAATTTAGAAAGCTTTTATCAATGGAATTGCCCCTGTGTTGAACACCAGGGACATTCTAGGCAATGTCATCCTTTTGTATTTGAATGTGTGCCACAGTCTTACCTTTAAGCACATAGAGCGGAAGCCAAGATGGCATGCTTAACAAAAAGATCAGCATGTATTACCAGAAACCAGCTGCAGCTTTACACAGCTTATGGGTCTGAAGAAACAGAGCCGGATAAACACCTAGAAAGAATCTCTGTTCCTCTCTGCAATGAATCTGAAAGCAGATTACTTAAGAAAACCTGTACCAGTCTAACGTACTTCTCTGCTTCTCCAGACTTCTTCATACAATAGCACAGCTCCTCTCTCAGCACCCTGTCATATGCTTTCTCTAGATCGACAAAAACACAATGCAACTCCCCCTGACCTTCTCTGTACTTCTCTGTCAACATTAACACAAGTGTTGCATCTGTAGTAATTTTTCTGGGCATGAAACCATACTGCTGCTCACAGATGCTCATTTCTGACCTCAGTCTAGCTTCCACTACTCTTTCCCATAACTTCACTATATGACTCATCAACTTTATTCCTCTGTATTTGACACAACTCTGCACATCTCCCTTTTTTTAAAAACAAAATTGGCACAGCACACTTTTTCTCAAATTGCTAAGGCATCTCTAAGATCTCATTGAGCAGCCTTGTCAAAAACTCTGCTGTCTCTCCTAGATACGTCTATACCTCAACAGGTAAATCATCAGGATCAACTGCCTTTCCACTCTTCCTTTTTAATATGTCCCTACCTCAACCTTACCAATCTTTGCTACTTCCTGATCCACAATGGTCCCTATTTTTTGCTCTTTGTTCTCCCTAACTTTCCTTATATATCAACTGTTCAATGTACTTCTTCATCTTCCTATTAGACTTGTTTCATCTGTCAATACATTTCCATTTTGATCCTCGATCGCCCTGACCTGTTGAACATCCGTCCCATCTCTGTCTCTCCAACCTGTCTACATCCTTCTCTCGCTCCTTACTGTCTCCTTATCAACTTTCTTTGGAAAGTTTCCCTGTTAGCATTAGCTGTAGTTGCCCAGTCACCATACAAAGCAGTCTCAAAGGCTCTTGAATCAACCTTCAAAGGCGCAATAAAAATTCACGACAAGAAATATAGACACTACCACCACTGTCATATTCTTTCCAAATACAATTTTTTAAATTTTAATAACGCATTATGCATGCAAACATTTGCTTACTTTTCAAAATTCTTTATGGTATTACTGCTCCTCCTCTAAGAAGGGTGGTCACACTGAGCTCAGAAAAAACAACTAGAGTAACAAGGGCGACCTCTAGAGGAGGGTGCAGCATTCCTAAATGTAAGACCTGTTTTGCTAAATCTGTTTTCTCTGTTGCTGCCAAGAGTCAGTGGGATACCTTCCCAAACGAGATTATAACATGCACAAGTATATTAATGTTTGCACATTTGAAAGAAATGGCTTTTAACAAAACAAGTTTGCACTCATTAGTGACGAATGTGTGTGAATGAAAGTATAGTTGGTTTATTTGGAAAATATATGTGTGTGAGTGCGTAAGTGTATGTGTGTGAACAAATAGGTGTGTTTATTGTATAGGTGCAAGTGTGTGATAGAAAAATGGGGAATCCCTGGAAATCTTTAGTAGTTGGCGTATTTGAGGGGTGATGTATGTTATAATTGTGTTGTATTAGTTTATATGTTCACTGGTTCTTCTGTCATATACATTTACATGGAAAACAGTTAGTTTTGATTAACATCAACCTGTCAGGGGACTACAGGTGGAAATTAGTATCTTTTTCTATAACCTGGCACCATGCATATGTCCTGTTTTAGGGCAATGTATTTTTGTGCACTGTCCCTGTACAAATCAAAATCATCATCATCACCTGGAAACACCTTCTGGCCACCTAAAGCCTGTCTCAACTCCTCCCTGAAAGCCAGACAACTTCATTTTTCAGCTCCCACCATTTTGTCACCTGCTCTGCCTTTGTCCTCTTCATCTTCCTCAGGATCAGTCATTTTACATACCAGTATACCATACTGCCTGGCAACATTCCCACCTACCACAACCTTGCAGTCACTAAGTTCCTTCAGATTTCATCGTCTACACAAGACGTAAACCACCTGTGTGCTCCTATCTCCTCTCTTCTTCTCCCTGTGTTCCTGCCTCTTCTAGAAAAAAGTATTTACTACAGCCATTTACATCCTCTTTGCATTGTCTCTCACCATCTCTCCTTTTGCATTCCTGTTCTGGATACCAAACCTGCCGATCACTTCCTTATCACCTGTGCTCCAGCATGTCAATTGAGATCTGCACCAATCACCACTCTCTCACCTCTGGGGATTTTCTGCTTCACTCCTCCTAACTCACTCCAAAATTTCTCCTCCTCTATCTCACTTCCCACCTGTGGGGCATAACCACTATAAACATTCAACCTCACATCTTCAATTTCTAGCTTCAGACTCATCACCCTATCAGACGCTTTTCACCTCCAGAACATTCCTGACAAACTCCTCCTTCAAAATGACTGCTTTACAATTTCTCTTCCCATCCAGCCCAGCTGGAACCCTGCTCCTGAGCTTCTTGTCTTGCTACCTTTCCTCTTTGTCTCCTGAACACACAGCAGGTCCACCTTCCTCCTCTGCATCATGTCAGCGAACGCTCTAGCTTTTCCTGTCATTGTTCAGTTTCAGTTCAGTTTATTTTATTTATATAGCGCCAATTCACAACACATGTCGTCTCAAGGCACTTCACAAAAGTCAGGTACATGCATTACAATTAATCCGAATCACTGAACAGTGCAGTCAGATTCTGTTATTTATTCAAATTGGATAAAAAGTTTTTCTATCTAAGGAAACCCAGCAGATTGCATCCAGTCAGTGACTTGCAGCATTCACTCCTCCTGGATGAGCATGTAGAGACAGTGGACAGTCACTGGCGTTGACTTTGCAGCAATCCCTCATACTGAGCATGCATGTAGCGACAGTGGAGAGGAAAAACTCCCTTTTAACAGGATGAAACCTCCAGCAGAACCAGGCTCAGTGTGAGCGGCCATCTACCTCGACCGACTGGGGGTTAGAGAGAACAGAGCAGAGACACAAAGAGAACAAAGAAGCACTGATCCAGGAGTCCTTTCTATGGGAAGGAAAAGTAAATGTTAATGGATGTAGCTCCTTTAGTCGTTTCACCTAGAAAGAAAGGACAAATAAACTCTGAGACAGTTTTCAATGTTAGAGTCTGAAGAGAGCACATAGAGTTAGTTACAGTAAAAGCTCAGTCAGTAGCTATGTCTAAGAGAGAGAAAGGGTTAAACACTGAAAGACAGGGCCATGTGGATCATCGGTAGAGGGTGAGCATTAAGTTGTTGCCAGCAGAAGCTTGGACGATGCCCCTCTCCAGAAAGGTGTTACAGGTAGACACAGAGTCAGGCCAGGTGTAGCTTCTAGGAAGAGAAAAGAGAGAGAACAAAGTTAAAAGCTGAAATAACAGCAAATAATGCAAAATTGAAGAGTAGTGTGAGAAAGTAGCGAAGAGGGTGAAAGTGGTCATTATGTCCTCCAGCAGCCTAAGCCTATAGCAGCATAACTACAGAGATAGCTCAGGATATCCTAAGCCACTCTAACTATAAGCTTATCAAAAAGGAAAGTTTTAAACCTAGCCTTAAAAGTAGACAGTTTGTCCATCTAGAGCCCACTGATGGCCATTGTTATACTAAAAACCACAACGATTGGGGATACCTCTCTCTGTCAGATTGACCATAACCATTGGAAAAAAGAGAGGGGGTCATACAGGTAGCAGAAAGGGAGGGTTGTTGCACCTCAACCAAAAACTGAGCGGTTTAGGCTAAACCTGACTCCCCTTACTCATCCAACAAGGGGAGAAGAAGACGGAGGTAAAAAAAGGGAAAGATAGCTCAGGATAACCTAAGCCACTCTAACTATAAACTTTATCAAA